CAATTAATTAAATTAAAATTTTCATTATGAAATGCTGCAGCTGCAAACATCTATTTCACTCCACTACCCGTATCAAAATTTAATTTAATTTTAATTCTCAATTTCGAATGAATAATTTAACAATCTAGTTAATACGAAATTATTAAGAAAGAACGAAACAACGAGGTATTGTTCGAAACTCTGCTGATTTCACGCAATACTGCCTTGAACCTCTCCCAGCGGATGTAATTTGTAAGAGAATCCCGCGGATGGCTCGCATAATGGAAGGTTCCATCGATATTTTCTGTCTCCGGTTACTGTTTCCGGTTTCTGTGCCACGTTGTTTCACTTGTCGATAATTGAAATCAGAATTATATCAAATATCGTACCGCGTCGATGGATTTCCCTGCTTGTACAATTCGATGAATTCTGACGAGCCGGGAATTCGATTTTAAATTTTCGACATCTCCCGCCACTGTCGCGTGTATGACGCGCCAATTCAATCGAGACAGTTTCGTCAGTTGTTTGTCCCTCCCTGGCCGGTGCGGGTCGCCGTGTTGAGCAAACGTTTCGAAATTCGAAAAGTTCTCGACGATTTCGATGAACTGCTTCGCGAAATTAAATTTCACGCGTATTGTGTGCCGTGTTTCCATTGTGCGCGAAGATTTTTGTTATTCATGACAGTTTTGTGTGTCAGGATACATTATTGCACGTGGCGTGAAATGGAGGTTAAGATGAAAAGGTACGCAAGAATCTGATATTTTTCTACATCAACACGTTGCCACCTTCTAATTAAACGATTTTGTTGCAACGTTTGTATTCAGTTCTCATTTCTCTAATGTTAAAATAATAGAGTATCGTTGAAAGTTGAGCTCAATCAAATGGAAAGAGAGACTCTGCGCGATTTTCAAATCTTTAAATCGTTTTGTAAATAAAAGATCTCTTTACTACGAAACGTGACGTTAAAAATATTATTTGTATGAACATTATTTCTACTTGTGTAATAGTGTTACATTTCTAATTAGAGGTTGGAATGACAAGATGATCGAAAGAGTATGTAATATTTTCCCACCTCGATTAGTACATTAATTATTCTAACCTAATTAAAAAGATAGAACAGATTATCTAATGAAATCTCTAGACGATAATATATAAAGATGTATTTAAAGTTTAGCATTTAGAAAAATTTCACGAGATCACGTTTAAAATTATTGAATAATAATTGGAGATTTGGCGGGAGATTTGAATTACGTTCCAGTCGCGTGAAATTAATTATCCATTTACATTAAGCTGACTGAAGTTGTCAGTTAATGAGAGTCAGTTCTAGAAAATTCGTTATCTAATTTCATAGTTGGTGTCTTGCATCACTCTGGTCGGCAATTTTGTCGTGCTTGTGCTTCGAAATTATGCTACAACGTGTGGTTGTGGTCCTCGCGCGTAACTTTCTTGACACGTTGCACTCAACGACCTAACGTTGCGCGACCTATAATATAACAATAAAAAGATGAGAATGCAATTAATATTCAATCGATTGCAATCGAAGCAGACAGGAAATGCCGGAGTGTCGTTTTCGCTATCCGTGCGATCCAACAATGTCCAATTCGATACGTAGTATACGTATATTGAAATAGCCCGGTGCATCTCATATAAAATTCAAAGAATCTGGAATGTATCAGACAATTTTAAAATTGTTCATCCTTTGGAAATATCTCCGCTATCATTCGCACATTCTCAGACGCACATAATCCATGGAATTCCGAGTTTATTAATACGTAATAGTTTTAGGAGTATTTCTGAAATTCTAGGCGGACTTCCAGGAATTTATTTCTGCGCGCGCGCAAGAAAAAAAGAAAATGCAAGATCGTTTGAAAATTTCATCAATTCTCTGAATGTATTTAGAAAAGCGTACAAAAATTCTACGAGGCGAGATTTCTGAAATTCTACAGTAAAGTACCATCTCATTTGAAGATTTTATCTAATATCTCTCTCAACCACTTATCGCTCAGATGCATTTGCGAGATTCCTCGCGATGAATTCCGACTTAAATTGGCGACAGTCGACGAACGACGGTTGGTAACGCTTATCGGAAAAAGCAGCCGGGGGATTCCTTGGCACCGCAGCTGTCTCAACGTGGGGGGAGGGAGAGAAAAAGCGCGGGATAATTGAGAGCAAGTGCTCCAATTATTTGGTCGTCGAATGGAACGGCTGGCTGGCTGCATTTTAATCCGATATTGTAACGTGATTTCCGAACTTTTCAGACGCGTTAAAGTGCCGTCTGATTTCACCCGTGTGTCGCATTACCGGTTTAATGAATTAGGTTTTGTTCGCTCAAACGGTCTTTGAAGTTCAACCACGCGCTGTTAAAAAGAATTTGGCCTGAATCAAGTAGAGCACTTCGACGAAAATAAATTGCCTCCAATTTATTATTATTCTGTAAATTTCTTCGAGTTTTGTAAAAAGAATCGGAAGCTTTTAACATGTAACACCGACTGATAACAGATCACAGCATTGCAAATACTTTGGTTTCTTGAAATTTCATGAAAATTGTGGAGAATATAAGAATGAAAACATATCAAGAGAATTTCTTTCCATAGCAGCAATGTTTAATAACAGAAATTAATTGAAAAATATTGCAAGTGAAATGGGTTACGACAACGCAATGCTGTTCCTCAAATGGGTTAGCATCTAAGAGAGAAAGTTTTTGATGTTAATTGCTGCTTTCTATTAAGGAAAATTACAAGCGTCTTCAATCCTTTTTAATATACTCGAAAGTGTACACTTTTGGAACTTAAATACGCAAAAATAATTTAAATAAAACATGCGGTTTCTTCTTGGGATTTAACGGAATTTCACTTTTACCTTAGCTCTTGCTACTTTTATTCGCGTTACAAGAGTCCTCTAACCAGACACATCTCACGCTGCCAATTTCTATCTTCTACAGATATTTTCAGCAAATCGATGACCCGATTAGGGTCATCAAAATTGTAGAGGGAATACTGGTAGAATTACGATGGAGATCAGAAGTAGCATTTGAATAAGTCTTTTAAAATTCTGGAAAATGTGAAAGCCATCGCGAGGTGACGAAATCAGCAATTAACAGGAAACAAGGTGAATCCTTGTGAACGAGTGGCTTCGTCGTAGTTGAAGGGAAAAGGAGGAGGAGCGACGACAAAAGAGAAGCAGGGCCACGGTATTGGTGATTTATCAAGTCTGAGAGGGTTTCTTTGTAAAGGCAGAATAGAAAAATCGCGAGGTTCTCGATGCCTGACCCGCTTACGTCTATTGGTATCGAAACCGAAGGCAAAAATCGTGATATACTCGTCGCGGTAGAATTTATCGTGTTTGACGAGTCAGGCTTCTAAGAAGATGGATCCTCTCTCGAGAGATCAGAGTTAGTAATTTTGGCAGACGTTATTAAGCTGCATTCTCATCAACAAACAAGGACAATTTCACGTCTCAGTCTAGTTGAATTAATTGAATCTTGTTTTTATATGAGTCACTCTAATCATAATTAGGTAACTCTTCTGAAGTTAATCCGAGCTAACTCAGGATCTGACGAGCATCTCCCAAATTTGTCAGTGATACTGTCTCTATAACCGATGGCTATAGGTTGGCTCAGGCTCGCAGTTTATCAAGCTAGAATTAGAATCTTCCTCCCTGAGTCAGATTATGTTTCAGCAACAAGTAGCTCAATACGTAAACCACTGCAATAAGGAAACCTGGCTGGTTGAACAGAATTTATGTGTATCTCAGTGATCGTGTTGTGGGAAAGTTCAAAATTCAGTGTGATTTATGTTGTCTCTGCAACTTGTTGGACAGGTTATGTTAGGCGCGTAATCCATCAGAATAAAAGAGCAGCATCTGGACGTTTAGATTGATTGATGGATCGACTTTTCTGTAGTGATGCAATTTTTTTGTTTTTTATAGAGAAGACAGATGGACAAATTTTTTTCAGTGACTATGCATTTATGCTCTAATCTATTGGTAATCGATGGAGGAGAGGTGTTTCCATATCTGCTTGCAGAGAAATCTAAAGTTATGGATGTTAGATGGAGATGAAGATACATGACCGAAGAATAAAAGTAAAGTTTCGTTCATAAAGAGTTATATTTCACGCCGAGGTTATAGATGACTGGAGATAGTGATTTTCAAATAAAGTCGAATATGCGATCAATTCAATACATCTCCGTTCATTCTGTACAAGAACCATTGAAATTATGTTCAAATCACTGAGGATTATTTACATCGCGACGTCTCTGTTCCAGTCGTGGAAATAAGAAGAAGTTCCCTCGTCTTTATTCAGAAAACGCTGAATAAGTCGTTTACCTTGTAAACAGAACGCTTCTCGTTCCGTGGAACAAACAGGCGAGCCTTAACCAAGTTAAAACGGAACTTCGTAAATAATTCATGCGCCGTTGCCGTGGCGCGGCGATTATTTAAATAAATACTGAATTGAACTGCAGCCTGGAGGAATGAAAATATCGTTGAAAATATCCTTTAAAGGGGATCTACTTTACAATCGGGGAACACGTTCTTGATCCGGAGTGGGTCAAAGCAAACTGCGAAACAATGCACGAAAACGTGCATTGAGAATCGTGAATATTATGCTAAAAAGGACGTACTTGAATGTTCTATTCTTGCAGAGACCAGGAATCCCTAGGTTGGAACGTTGGAACGAGCAACGCTAAAGCAAAAGTATAGCGGTGCCGTTAGCTGTATCAAGATTTAGAATGTTATATAGGGACACGGTATGACTAACGAGTGAGGTAGTCGAGCCAGTAATAGGCCTCTCCAAATAGTTGACATTGTTGAAATCGGCAGGGAGAGAGTCTAACCCTGAGATGACGATTGTCAGCCCATTTTACCGGGGATTCTAACGACAGATTGTAACGATTCGTTGTAAATCAACGTCTATTTAAAATTGAGAATCACTTTTCACCGAAGAGTGAAAAACTACTCACAATCAGTATCATTGTCACGCATTTTTAAACCCCACTGACAACTCGTGTTCTTTGTTACAGGCCAACAGCCGCTATCGACCAATTGGCGGCCGAATCTCCAATAAATACGCACGCACGTTGAACGACCGATTTGCCAGGCTGAAGGGAAACTGCTGCCACGTCGCCACGGAGGAGAAAAGGAACGTAACGGCCGTAGAGACATCGAGGGTGGCTCGCGTGCCAAGAAGATGCGACTGTTCGCGTGGCCTGGCAGCGTGACTCGCGGCGGACTCATAAACGATGAATTGGCGGGCAGCGATGTTGGCTCGGCCGAGAAACGCGGCAGCAGCAGGAGCAGCAGCGGAGGAGGCAGCAGCCACGGTAGCCAGCGAATCGGCAGATTGGACACGCGATCGGTCGAACGACACACCATCGGCTGGGCATGTACGTCATCTACCCGGCAGACGAGCTGTTGCGTATCTATGAGAACCCAGACGGTGACCCTAGTTCAGTGTTGACCGGGGATCGTCGGCCGAGTTGTCAGGTGACCGTGATCGCTGTCAACGAGAGAAACGACCGCCCACGAGGGCAAGACAGCAACAAGAGGCGAAAGGAGAGGCGAAGGGAACGAGGAGGCCACACGCGTAGAAGAAGGGCGAGCCGTAACGAGATATCGCGTAGCCACGAGCAACCGAAGAAGAGTACTCGCCCGGAGCAACACGCCAGGACTATGCAAAACAGTCGTGTCGGCGCCGGCGAGGATGCCGCTAATCCTCTCAAGGACCTCATACAGCCAGGGCTCAATGAGCCGCTCAAACAGCACAATGCCGCCACGCTCAAGCTCGTGCAGACTGGTGAGTGCTTTACTTCCATTTCCAGCTTCTCCTCTTTTTTTTTTTTTTTTTTTTTCATTCTTTAACGGGACCTGGCGCGTTTATGGCGTCGTGAAAGTACCTAGAAACGACGAGCGATTGAGAGCTAGGGCAGATCGACCTCGGCGAGTTTACACGCTGAATTTTTTTAATTCTGAAAGTACGCTGTAAGCTTACGTTTTAGTAATTTTTGACTTTCACAGGCTAGGTTTGTAAATCGAGATGTTTTGTTAATTTTGCTATCTTTCCCCCCCTTTTTGTTTAATTGGTTACAGGGTGGATTACTGTAGATTGGGTTTGACAAAATTTAAGGGCATATCTCTGTTTTTCGAAAAGTGTTTTAATACTCCTTCCTTTGCGATAAATTGAAAATTTTAGTTATTCAATTATTCAGCAGTTGATTATGTAGTGGGATTTTTGATTATGTACTAAAAACTTAACGCATAGTATATTCTTCTTTAATAATAGTGTATATTACTACAACTTCTGTAATATTAAAAATTCCCTAATATTAAAAATATTCCTAATATAATTCCAACGCAACGCATTTGGATTAAAATTGAGTTAATGAAAGTCATGCCTTTCTCGATCCTCATCACAAACTTATTTATTTACTCTGTTCGCAACACGATAAGAATGCAAAAGACGAGATAACGGCGTTCATGGCGTATTGTGAATTATTAATGTAGAAGAAAATACAGTCAGGAGAGATACATTTGCCACCGCAGACGATGCATAATGCATTCAAACTTGGCTTAAGGTCAAGACTAATACCCATTAAAAGTTCAACAGCCAACAAATAACAACAACAATTAGGATCGTAATCTCAATTTGCAGCTACACTCGAAATTATAACTTTTGATCACTCTTGGGTTTTTATTGAAACGAAGTGGATCTTATGAGCGGGTTAATTAAAGTTTCAGAAGTTAATTAGAGCTGAAATTGCATCTAATAAGTTTATAGGAGATTGCAAAATGGAATGTAACAGTGGATTATGCATCCAGCCACTGTAGACGCTATGCAAGAATGCATTTACTTCTTCAAATATTCCGTTGTTTCCGTAGTACAGAATATTAGGTTTCGCAGGCGAGCTCGTGACACGAAATACTTTTCAGCGGAACTCGCCAAAGTAATTTGCCTATAGTGATCTGATTCCATATTTGAATATGTATGCATAATTTTGCTGCATGGTACCCACCCTGAGGGAAGAAATGCCAAAGTCACAGTTTTATTTTGAGTTTAGGGGGGTTACTTCACGAGCCTAACAACGGATATAATCTCAATGTGCAATTACTGTTATAGTATATATATGTTGCAAATTAAATTTTTGTAAAAAACAAAGATATTACATCGTATCCTACAATACAAATTATATCCACGTTCGAGAACTTATTTTAGTTGAAATTTAGTCAGTCGAACCTGTTCTAAACAGAACAGAACAGAACAGAAACTCAGCCCTGTTTTAGTCTGGTGAAACTCAAATGGGTCGAATATCATCGAAGCAAAATAATTACGTTTAACAAATTTTCTCTACCAAGCAACAAACTTAACGTTCTTCTTACGTTATAAAACTGTCATACAAGCATTTCATTATCTTGTTACTCGAACGTGAGTAACGTGATTATACGTGGCACGATCAAAGGAAACCAACCCCTTATACACTTGTGCATGCACCTTTCCGTGTTTGAAGGCTGTTTTCCTTCGTATTTAGTGGTAGAACAGAGTTGTACGTTGTACTTGACATTGTTCGTTATCGTCTTGAGCTACTACACCATAGAACCCCATGACGTATACGAGGATTTCGTGTTCTGGGATTGTAATTCACATCAGGACTGCCCTAAACGCAGGACTGCCTATTTGAAGTGCAAACTAGTCCCGAGGGATGTATTTCGTTCGTAATTAAATTTGTTAACTTTGAATTTCTTTCTTTTTTCTTTTTGTTAAAGGTACATATCTATGATCTTAGATTTCAAGTTCCCTAGATTCGTAATCAAATTTGCCAAATTGATTTGGGATTCTTTCCTTCTGTCAGACACGAACTTAAAAGTTTTAGTTACTTCTCTACATTCGTGAGCAAATTTATCAAATTTTTATAAGTTTCTTTTCTCTTCCTTAGCTTCGGTGTACAAACTTAAAAGTTTTTCTACCTCGAGCAACATTTTCTTTATTTCTTTGAAGTTCTGGAAAATGACGAATTAGTCTGAGTCTTACTGCTTAACTCTCGGAATGTTTCCAATTGGGAAATTCAGTGTTGCCAATGTTGCGTTAAGGATTAATGGCAGACATTTTTAACTGGCACCAGAAACGACGTTAGCGAGAAAGGTACAAACTCGTATCTTTACACGAGCAAATTATTAAAGTTTCTTCGTTAAAAAAAAAAGTTGCGAAAACTTATACTTCTCGAATCTGAACTCAATGTGAAATTATTTGACGTGTCAAGAAAAATAATTACAGTATCTGCACGATCGTATAAAAAGATACATAATCTCGGGAACGAACGTCCGCACCCTCTCATTATGAATTTGAAAATTGACACAATCTGAATCTGCAAATGATTGCGCAACACCATTATTGTTAATTCAATCCATTTACTTCCCTTTCGATGAATACATTAAATACGATTAATTCGCAGTTAGTAGCTTTTGATCGCAATTTAATTCTCAGACTAGTATCCGTGTATTCAGCAGTACCAACATTGTGGAACGATCGATGGAAAATATTTCAATCGCTGCTAAATAAAAAAAAAAAAAAAAAAAGAGTAAATTTCGTAATGTGATTACTGAAGCGTAAAGCTGAATTATAAAGAGTCAACGTTCAAAATTCTGATTTTGCCAGCGAAACGTTTCGAATGATACGACCTCGAATGTGCGTAAAATACGTAGAAAGATGAAAATTTATAATCTCCGGAACGATCTCAATTATCATATAGAGTATACTCGTGCGTCCAGTGTTGCCAACATCGTGTCATGATCGATGAGAGCCATTTTAACTAACGCTAGATATAAAAGAGTCTGCGAACGCGAGAGAGATGAGGAACGTCGACCAGTTTGGCATCGGTTCCACTGAACCCGTTTCTAGATCGTCGACGTTTCTCGACGATTATATTCCAGCGATCTTAACGTCCGTTGTAAAGGAAGTTTCGTGGAAAACACGTTGGCATGGAAACTGTCTCCGCGATGGCGGCATCGGAGTTCAAAGTCCGGGGAACTGGTGCCCTTCCAGCGAGCCTGGATAAAGTCCACGTGAAATATGGAACACGCGAAACCACTCTGCGGTCAACAAAAATTGAATATTCCATGAATCCAGCCATCTGTATCAATTCCGCATTTCCGCAAGAACCGACCTGCGAAACATCGAATTTGCAAAATAATTCTACAACTATTTGTATTATACGTCAGAATCGTATTTTATTAAAAAAAGATATATATATATATATATATAGTACGTTAAACGATGGATTCTGTCACGAAGAACCAACCAAACGGAAGTTCGTAATTGTATTAAAATTGCAGTTTCTTTTTTTACGAAAAAGAAAAAAAGAAGAAAGAATAAATTACATCTGCGGAAAACATTTTCCACGAAAATTTAGGTTTTTATCCATCATGCATAATTCAGAAACCAGAATAATTCCAGAACTCGGACAATATTTTCCCCCGGAATATTCCGATTCCCTTTTTTTTCTCTCAGCTTTCCAACCCGGAGGTACGTCTCACAAAGGAAAAATCGCGGGATTTCGACGCGAAAAGGATATCCCTTTGCCAGGTGGTTCCTCTGTTCCGAAGAGAAAAAGAACAGATGGAGTCGGCTAAGAGCGGTGGATGGAAAAAAAAAAAAGAAAAGAAAAGAAAGAGAAAAGAAACGTGATTTTCGGTGGCCCGCGTGTGCCGCGCAAAAATAACTCGACACGATGACATAATTATAAGTTATCGCTGCCATAAAACGTCGTACACGTGCTTCGCGAAACGACGCGCTGAATCGTCTGGCAAATTTCTCTCCCCCATTTATAAATTCCCCAGCCGTTGTTATCGCGTCTTGAATGACGGTGTTCCTCCTTGGTTCTTTCTTCACCTGTTAGGGGGAAAGCACTATACAAGCAATCACGATCCGTCTGATCGACGTCTGGATCAGTCTGCGAAGCTTATTAAAGGAATTAGCAAACACATGTTGCCGAGTTACCTCGAGTTGGCCTCGATCGTGTTACTGAAGATGCCGCCTTTTGTTCTCTTTGTAACTGTGTTGTGGAAGCACTCGCGCGAGAAAAATATTGAATGAACAAACAGCTTTGAGAAGGGGCTGATGCGGCTGAAAGGGAAAATGAGAATTGACACAGCATAACACACGCGCGGAGATAAAAATGATCGTGATCAACTCATCGTCAATACTCAATCATGATTCCCGACACGGAAACAAATTGTACATTAAACGACGGATTACTGACAATAATGAAGAGAAGCAGTGCAACGGACACCTGATACCGCAGGAATGAAATTGGACTGCGCGTGTCAGCTTGCAAACAAAGTTCATGCCAAACCAGCAATGTCTCCTCTGTTAAACAAACCGTTACTGTCCATTTCACGCGCAACGCGAAACAATAAAACCTCGAGCTCTCAAGAGCTTGCGCCAAACCGAAGAACCACCGAGAAGATTCATTATTCGTCGAGGCAGGAAATTTCAAGCGGAGGGTCATCGAACTCGAAATCGCAACCGAAACTCGTTTCGTTCTTTCTTCTCCTTCTTCTTTTTCTTTTTTCTTCGCGGTATTTTTTGGAGTGTGAGGATGTTTGCACTGCGCTTGGCGGCGCACTCTTTCACGGCTAGCCTGTTTCCCTTGTGGCCAATCACGCCGGTACGAAGCGATGATTAATTATATGGGGCCAGAGCCAAGGGTTTGCCACTTCTGTTAGGAAGTATTTCCGTCATCGGTCTCTGTCCCGTACGATTTTATCGCGTCCCAGCCTCGAAAGCTCTACGGTCACAGACCG